AGGGAGAGGGAGAGAAAGAGAAGAGAGAAATAGAGATTGAGAGGAAAAGAAATTGTGAGAGAGATTGAGAGAGGGAGAGAGACGAAAAGAGAGAAAGAGATTGAGGAAGAGAGAGGGAGAGAGGAAAAGAGAGAGATTGAGAAAGGGAGATTGAGAGAGGAAGAGAGAAAGGAAAAGAGAAAGAGATAGAGATTGAGAGGAAAAGAGATTGAGAAAGAAAGATCGAGGAAAAGAGAGACTGAGAGAAAAAGATTGAGAGGAAAAGAGATTGAGAGAAAGATTGAGAGGAAAAGAGTGATTGAGATAGAGGGAGAGAGAAGGAGAGGAAAAGAGATTGAGAGAGAGAGAGGAAAAGAATGATTGAGAAAGAGATTGAGAGGGAGGGAGAGAGAATGAGAAAGATTGAAAGGAAAAGAAAGAGGGAGAGAGAAAGAGGAAAAGCAAGAGAAAGATTGAGAGAGATTGAGAGGAAAAGAAAAAGATTAAGAGAGGGAGGGAGGAAGATAGGAAAAGAGGGGAGAGAGAGGAAAAGAGAGAAAGATTGAGAAAGATTAAGAGGGAGGGAGAGAGATTGAGAGAGAAAGATTGAAAGGAAAAGAAAGATTGAGAGAAAGGGAGAGAGAGAGGAAAAGAAAGAGGAAGAGAGAAAGATTGAGAGGAAAAGAGAAAGATTAAGAGAGAGGGAGGGAAGGAGGAAGATAGGGAGGAAAAGAGAGGAGAGAGAGAGAGAGAAATTAATTGGATGATTTCTGGAAGGCATCTTGCTTGCAAGACGCAATGTTGGTGGAGGTACAAGCATGTCATTTTTTTCTGGCCTGGCAGAATCACAGAATGATCGGCTATTGGAAGGACCTTGCAGAAACGGAGAATGTCTTAGCTGGAAGAAACTTCACTCGGTGCCAGGGGGGGTTGGAGTGATTTTGCCTGGTCGGCTTCAAGGAGGCGGCCTTTCCCGCACAAAAGCCTCGGCAGAGGGCAGCATCAGCATCGGGTTGACCTTGTCTGAGCCGTCGCAGGGTCAGTCCTGGGATACCTCGAACACAGAATGAAAAGGGTTGGAAGGGATCCCGGAGGCCTTCTAGACTAGTCCAGGGGTCCCCAACCCCACCCACTTCACACAGCTGGAGGGGAGCGGCGGGCGAGCGAACGAAGCTTCGCATTTGCAGCTTGATCCCGAAAAATGGACATCACGGCCTCGACTCCACTTCAGATCATCAGGCATTGAATGATCGTTTGTTCCGACCCAAACCTTGTTCCAAGGAAACAAAACACCAAATAGAGATAAAAACAAAACCTTTTAAGGATTCTTTACGAATTCCGTTCCTTCACAGTTAAAAGGCTGTTTCCAACTAATGGTCTCTGATAAGAACGAGCCTTGCCAAGGTTGTGCAAGGCTGCCAAGAACACTAGATAAAGTTGCCAAGAAAGATTTCAAACACAAAGAGTCTCCAAACACAAACTAAGAGAGTCCAAGCGTCCACAAGGCTTGAGTGCAAAAACGTCTTTGCTTCCTGCAAAGAACTCCAGGTTCTCAGCTGGCTTTTATCTCTTAAGGGAGGGGCCGTCACCTTGCAGCCTTACTCCCGAGTCGTCCATGCTGCTGCAGCTTCTCTTTCCTTCGAGCAGCCCTGCGTGCATGTGCACTTGGCACAGGCTCCTCGGGGACCTCTTCATCACTGCTGCCAGCCTCCACAATCTCCAAAGGCAGCACTCCACTCCCTGATGGTCCTGGCCCTATCCCTGCATCACACGCAGGCCCCTCATCTGAGTCCTCACTCTCTGAGACCTCAGCCGTCCGCACCTGCTGCCGGCGAACCACAACATCATTGGAGCATGAACCCTACTTGTAAACTGCATGTGCGAGGGAACTAGGTTGCGCGTTTCTCCCCTCCCCTCCCTCCTCCGTGTCCATGAAAAAATGGTCTTCCGTGAAACTGGTCCCTGGTCCCTTGGGGACCACTGTTCTAGTCCAATCCCCTGTTCAAGCAATAGACACTATATATCTGTGATCAGAGGTGGTATTCAGTCAGTTCTGACCAGTTCTGGAGAACCGGTAGCGGAAATCTTGAGTAGTTTGGAGAACCGGCCAATCCCACCTCTTGCTGGCCCCGCCCCCATCTATTCTCCGCCTCCCGAGTCCCAGCTGATTGGCTGGGTCTCCTTTGGTTGCCCTGCACAGGAGAACAGAGCAGGAAAGCAGGTTAGTGGATGTGGAGGGAATGGGGATTTGTTTTGTTTTGTTTTGTTTTATTATTTATTTTATTTTATTTTTATTTTTATTTATTTATTTATTTATTTTATTTTATTTATATTATTTATATTTATATTTTTTATATTTATATTTATATTTTTTATATTTATATTTATATTTATTGCAGTAACCTTCCCCCAGGAGTGAGGAGGGAATGGAGATTTTACAGTATCCTTTCCCTGCCACACCCACCACACCACACCCACAGAACTGAATAACCAAAGATAGATAGACAGATAGATAGATATACACATACATATACACACACGTATATACATATACATATATATATATATGTGTGTGTTTTCTGAGGTTTTCGCAGGTATTTGTATGTGGATCTTTGGTTATTTGGGTTTTCTCCCACGTAAAATTGGAAGTATACTTCCAATTTTATGCGGGAGAAAACCCGAATAACCAAAGATCCCCATATATATATATATACATATACATATACATATACATATACATATATACATACATACATACATACACACACACATATATATATATACACACATATACATACACACACATACATTCATAGAATAGATGGATGGGTAGGTAGGTAGGTAGGTAGGTAGATAGGTAGAGAGAGAGAGAGAGAGAGAGAGATTACTTGTTTCCCGCAGTTGTACCTGTTTTGGGTGCACGTTACTGTGTTTGGATGGCTGGGGCTGAATAAGGATACAGCTGGTGGATCATCCAGCTCATTGCTTAATAATGTTGCACAACAAACCCTTTCAAAACAAGGGCCAGGCAGAGCAAATCAAAAAAATACTTTCACTGAAATAAAGCGAATTAATTAAATGAAGAACAATAGCAGCAAAACACCAGCAAACTTCAGTTCTTCCCTCCTGTCTCCAAGCTGTTGAATTCCACTTACCCGCAGCAGCTGCTAAGTTTTGTTTGTGTGTGTTTAAAAGCAACGTTGTGGCAACGCAAGATCTGCAAAAGTAAACCGGGCCCGTAGCTCTCTCTCGACTAAGCTTCCGTTAGCCGGGTTCAACATGTCAGGTTAAATTAAAAAGCGGGCCAATCGCATCGTGGTTTATGATAATGACCGGATTTGCAAAGCAAGGCAACTGGGAGGCGCTGGGAACGAGGTGGCCGCTCCTTAGACGCCGGCAAAGGGGGAATTTTTCTCGCCCGGGCAAGGAGAAGGAAGCGGGGTTGCGTTGCACAAGTGCAGCCCGGATATGCCCCACCTAACGCCTCGACCAGGAAACCAGGATGCGGTGATCATGGTTTCGGGCTTAACGGGTGTTTTTTTCCCCCCGCAGAACCCGTGCGTTTCCTTAGGCCCTGGCTCAGCCCGATCCTATGCCCTTGCCCCGATCCCCTCTCCTTTGGGATCCCAAGCTCTGGGTTTCCCGTTTTATTTCGGAAGCTAGAAACGCAGAGGAGGCGCAAAAGAAGCGGAGGAGGAGAGAAGATAGCAAAATAGAATCCTAAAGGCTGGAAGGGACACCCCCGAGGTCTTCTAGTCCAACCCTTTGCTCCGGGCCAAGAGACCATATATTCCATCCTGGTCTAAGGGTGGGTCTGAAGTTAATCTGCTTTTGGAAAAACTTCCAGGGAAATCCATCCATCGTACAGATCAGGATCAAAGGGAGAAGGGGAGGTTGTAAGAAAGCCCCGCAAAGCAACCTCGCAAAGGCTCCAGCTGTACTGCTCCTAATTCGAATCCCAGGATGGGAAGTGGGCGTGGACTTTGACCCGGGCTGTTTCTATCCTAGCTCGAGCCCCAGGCTTGGGGGTGGGGGGGTACTCGGACCCAGGCTGTCCCGATCCCAGTTCGAGTCCCAGGGTGGGGAGGGTGAGAGGGACGAGTTGGCCTGGTCCTAGTTCGAATCCCAGGCTGGAGCAGAAGTTGCCCTCGGAAGTTGTGGGAGCTTCATCACTTGAGACTTTCAAGAAGAGACAGGACTGCCATTTGTCAGAAATAGTGTAGGGTCTCCCGCTTGGGGGGGGGGGGGTTGGACTAGATGACCTATAAGGTCCCTTCCAATTCTGATTATCTGTTAAATCTGACGAGTTGACCCGGTCCTAGTTCGAGTCGCAGGCTTGGGAGTGGAGGGGGGGGTACTCGGACTCAGGCTGTCCCGGTCCTAGTTCGAGTCCCAGCCTCGGGAGGGAGGGGACGAGTTGCTCCGGCGGTCCTAGTTCGAATCCCTTCCCGTGCGCAGAATCCCCTCCCTTCCCTTCTCCCCCCGCCTTCAGGCACCAGTTCCCCGCTAAGCCTCGAATAGCGGCTCGCTCTCTCCGCACCGCCGGGCGCCTCCTTAAAAAAAAAAAGCAAGCAAAGCAAGCAAGCAGCCCCGCTTCCCGGCGCCTCCTTAAGGGGCTCCCCCGAGGGAGGGGGAAAAAGGGGGCGTGCCGTATGCAAAGCAGCCGAGCCCGTGACGCGGCGAAGCCCCTCCCCCTCGGGCGCCCCAAAAGAAAAAAAAAATCCTGGGCTGCTCCGCGTTTCGGAGTAAACCTGGCGGGAACATGGCGCTGCGCCGGCTTGGGAGCCTCCGCGGCTCCGGAGCAGAAGCCGGCCCGCCATTCCCGTTCCGGGCATGGCTGGGTCCAGGGCCGCCGCCGCTGCTGCTGCTGCTGCTGTTGCTGCTGAGCCCCGGCCGATCCGCCGCCGCCTCCTCCTCCTTCCCGGACCGCCGCGGCCCCGTGGTGCTGGGCATGCGGCTGGAGAGCACCGACCGGCCGCTGTGGGAGCCGGAGCAAGAGACGGAGGCCGGCGTGCTGCAGGTGCAGGAGGGCGCCCAGGTGGTGCTGCGCCTCTACGGGCTGGGCTTGAGCGCCAGAGCCGAGCAGGCGGTGTACTTCGCCGAGGTGGGCCCGCCTGGACCCAACGCCACCCGGGGAGGAGGAGGCAGCGGCAGCCCCAACGCCACCTGCCCGGAGAAGAGCCAGGACCTGGTGGTGCACGCCCACCATGCCGGCCGGAGCCGGCCCACCTCGGCCCTGATCGGCTTGCGGGTGCAGCGGCTGCGCAAGGCCGAGCGCTCCAAGCTCTACGTGCTGTGCGCGCGGAGCGATCCTGAGCTGGCTTGGCGGCGCCTGGAGGGCGAGGACGCCTTCCTGCGCGTGGTGGAGGAGAAGCCGCGCCTGCTGCCCTTGTGGCTCCAGGTGCTGCTCCTGGTGGTGCTGCTGGCCCTCTCGGGCATGTTCAGCGGGCTCAACCTGGGCCTGATGGCGCTCGATCCTATGGAGCTGCGCATCGTGCAGAACTGCGGCAGCGAGACGGAGAGGCGCTACGCCCGCCGGATCGAGCCCATCCGGCGCAAGGGCAACTACCTGCTCTGCTCCCTCCTGCTGGGCAATGTCCTGGTCAACACCACCCTCACCATCCTCTTGGACGACCTGATAGGATCGGGCTTGGTGGCCGTCATTGCCTCCACCTCCGGCATCGTGATCTTCGGGGAGATCGTGCCCCAGGCGCTCTGCTCCCGCCACGGCTTGGCCGTGGGAGCCAACACCATCGTCCTCACCAAGATTTTCATGCTCTTGACCTTCCCCATATCCTACCCGATCAGCAAGATCCTGGACGTCTTGTTGGGTCAAGAGATCGGCACCGTCTACAACCGGGAGAAGCTGGTGGAGATGTTGAAGATCACGGAGCCTTACAACGATCTGGTCAAGGAGGAGCTGAACATGATCCAGGGAGCTCTGGAGCTCCGGACCAAGACGGTGGAGGACGTCATGACCCCCATTCACGACTGCTTCATGATCAACAGCGACGGCATCTTGGATTTCAACACCATGTCCGAAATCATGGAAAGCGGCTACACCCGTATCCCGATCTTCGAGGAGGAGCGATCCAACATTGTGGATATCCTTTACATCAAGGATTTGGCCTTTGTGGACCCTGACGACTGCACCACCCTCAAGACCATCACCAAGTTCTACAACCACCCTATCCATTTCGTCTTCCACGACACCAAGCTGGACGCCATGCTGGAGGAATTCAAAAAGGGTAAGTGAAGGCGGAAGGTGGTAGCTCTGTGGGCAAGGGGCCTACCGCTGCCCTGGGTGCGTTTGGCTGCCCAGGGCATGGTTGACAAAGATGCAGCTTCTCCTGCAGATCTCCAGAAAGAAAAGGAGCGTGCTTTTCTTTATCCTGGTGGCTAGGATGCAACCTGGTTACCTCCTCTTAATCAAGGCTTCTCTTATTTTTTTAATAATAATCTTTATTACACATTTTTCAATATTTACACCAGGTTTCCATTCTTGACAGTGCTTCTGAATCCACATTTCTCCTATTTACTTAGTAACAGTTTCATTTTGCTTTTTCAATTTCTGATACATTTCCTCTAATATTGTTACATTTATATTTACCTTTGTATAATTACTTGTGTATACATTTCCTCTAACATTGTTACATTTATATTTACCTTTTTATAATTACTTGTGTATACATTTCCTGCTACTCTTAAGTACTTTTTATACACGTTCTTTACCTTTATCCTCTAGCCACTCATGCCACACATCCCAAATCTTATAATATTCTGTTTCCTCCTTGTCTTTTAACTCCATCATTAATTTATCCATCTCTGCACGTTCAAGCACTTTTTTTAATCACCATATCTTCTGTAGGAATATTAGTCTGTTTCCAATGTTGTGCGAAAACAATTCTCACCACCTTTATTATATGAAGTATGATATACTGTTGGTTTTTTACTTAAATTGTCTTTTGTTATACCTAGTAGGAATAGTTCCGGATTCAACTCAATTTTTTGCTTAATAATTTCCTCCAGCCATTTCTTTATCCTCATCCAGACCTTCTTTGCTTCTTCATTGATCAAGGCTTCTAATGCAGAATATTATGGCCAAATCCAGCAGGAGGATTGATCGGTTCTTGAGGCTCCCTAAGATACCTATAATTCATTTTTCTCATGGACTATATGCACACATCGCACTAAATTATCACAGCCTTTGGGCACATTTGGCTGATGATTTTACCCGAAAAGCTGCCTCTGTGGCAGATAATAGTTACCAACCCAGATTGACAGAGCCTAACCAGCTTTGGCTTATTCAACCTGTCCTTCTTCGGCAAATAATAGCTTGAGGCGATGTGCGAACCCAACCCCTTCACTCATTACATATTAACAGCAGAAGTTATTTTTCTAGGGAGGTTGGGGGGAAAGATTTCTAAGGATGGCCAGGTTTCTTTCCTTGAGCATATTTTGCAGCCTTGTGCTACAGATGTTTGTTCAGATGCAAGTTCTGCTGACTTGGCAGAACAAGCCAGAGAAAAGCGGAATTGTTGGCGGGTAGGACTTGGGTGTCAACATTCGTCAGAGGGACTCTCCCAGCTGCAACCCTGAAGCAGGCAGATGTCTGCCATCCCTGGGCAAAAAAACCTGACTTCTATTTTTTTTCCCCAAAGCAGCTTGTTATTTTTTATAATGTTATTCATAAACATTTTGAATACAGTGTATTGTCAGGGTATACCAATTACAAGCCAAAAAAAATCATATCTTAAATATTAACACATAAAGATAATACTAATAAAAACATATAATAATAGCAATAACATCACCCAGTATTTTTAACTATGTTTCTTTTATATTATCTTATTTACAATTTTTTTAGTACTTCTAATGATTTTATAAACCATCCCTATCTTTGATGCAGACATTCATTGTCTTTCTTCCTCTAATTTCTACCTCTTGTCTTCTATAACCACTCGTAAAATCTATTCTATATCAAATAGTCTTCTGTGCCTTTTTATCTTTTATTTTTAAGATTCATCTATCCAGTTCAGCACAGTCTTAAAATTTTCTTCATCTGACGGGGGTGTTCTCATTTTTCCAGTATTTTGCGAAGCTAATCCTTGCTGCTGTCAATATATGTAACACTAAATTTGCACCAAGACAAATTCCTTGTGTGTCCAACCACACTTGGCCAATAAAGAATTCTATTCTATATTCTATTCTATTCTATTCTATTCTATTCTATTCTATTCTATTCTATTCTATTCTATTCTAT